GGATGTAAGAGTTTCCAACAACCATATTTTATGTAATTTAGGTATATACTTAATAATGTCTATTTCAATACAAAAAGGTTTAAATTTATCATTGTAAAGGAGGGAAATCAAATACGACTAAGATGGGACCGGATTATATTCATTAAAAAAACAATCTATTACTATACTAGGGTTCATCTCTAATCATAAGAGCCTGCTGTTACAATACTAGCCAAATACAATTAAGTATGCTGTTATGTTGTTGTAATATTGAAATAAAAAAGAAATAATAAAAAAAAAATAACATAGTGCTTTATTATGAGTTTTACAAGTTTTAATTGTAAGTTTACTTAGTAAGTTTTGGGTTATTAGATTTTCTAAAAAGTCGTGTGTGTCGTACCTTAGAATTAATTATTCAATATTAAAGCAGTTTACTTTGTAACTTGTGCTTCAGTTGAGAAAAGGAAGTGAAATAATATGGTGCAGAGGCATAACTAGACGAATTAATGATTATTATTAAAACCCGTTAATTATGATAGCAATAAATTTTTTTAATCATGATTAATCAAATTAATTAATTGATTGAGAATTATTATGTATTGATTATTGATAAAATATTATAGTAAATACTTATTAACTATAAGCAATTTCTTCCAGACTACCTTTCGATGGATAGAGAAAGTATATAATATAAGAGAAGGGAAAAAAACAAGTCATGCTATCTAATTATACAAACTAGTGGTCGAAATTCGACCATAATTAATTTAAATTATAAGTTTGAACATTATTAACCCTAAATTCGATAATGCTGGACATTAAAAAAAAAAAAATTTTTGATTTGATTTGATTTGATTTGTTGTAATGGTTGCATGTGCTCACTGTCTCGTGAGCAGGCAATCTGGTCCCACATGCGCCGCCGCAATACGTCACAATCAATATCACGATTACTATCATTAGCGCGCGTTCACACTGATACAGGCTCAATTATCTTTAACTCATTATAGTCGGGTCAATGGATCGTGGCGCGAAAACATTTTTGTTTTAAACTTACTGTTACCTGCAACTTTATTCGCGTGGAGTTAGATTATTAACATAAATAAAGTAGTAACCTAAGTTTTATTTCAAAATATCTGTCTATTGCGACTTCGTTTCCGTGGTATTTAAGTTTTTATTCAAATAAAAATACTTCTTAAATAATAATGCTTAAGTTACTTCTTGTATCATTAGCTAACAGGAAGTAAAAGTCCCGTCAAAATTGATCTAGCAGTTTCAGAGATTAGCAAGAACAAACAAACAGACAGACACAATAATGTTTAAAATATTTTTTTAATGTAAGTACATATATGTATTAGCATATAAGTGTAGTGACAAGCTGTTAATTCGAAACTTCAATCAGACTCTTCAATTTTATTTATTTGTATAAATAATTTTAAATGTTTGATTTTGTTATGCTTAAATTATTGTACACAATCAAAAATCAAATCAAATTAAAATCTACGCATTTACTTGTTAAAATATTTTTTAATTATGTGGTAAGTTTCACCTTATTATAAAGATTACATTAATATAAAGAAATAGAATAGAAAATACGTTTAAGCATATCTTTATAAATATTATGAATTACGGATTTATTAATTTGAATTTTATCTATTTTCATTTTTAATATAATATACGTAATATACAAATGGGAGTCGTGTCGTATCAAGAATTAAAGAGCATGATGGAAGATCGCGGAAAGTGGCAAGAGCTCCACCGACAAGAGCGTAGATCTTAAATTATGAGTGAATGAAATACGTACATATTATAATGATAATAATCTCAGGACAATTCACACAGCGCCATCTAGACCCAAATTAAGCTAGCTAAAGCTTGTGTTATGGGTACTAGATAACTGATACAAATAGATAGATTTATTTTTTAGTATATACATATTATAATTATATACATAGAAAACACCCAGACCGATACAAAGAATCATACTCATGAATACAAATGTTTGCACCGTGCGAGGAATCGAACCCGCAAATATCGGTCGTAAACGGTGTGCTAGATCGCTAGACCACCGAGGTCGTCTGTACGATAATATGTAATGTAATATATGTACATATATATTTTACATATATTCACAATCTTTTATTTTATCATCGGTTTACAACGCATGATCTATTGACCGGACTATAATGGCTTCTTCACACGATCCTTTCCTTAATAACGTTTCGACATCGCAATGAAATCGTTTCAAAATATTTGTATCAGACGGTACGTACGCACTATTCGTGTTATAAGTAAGTTAGTCTTATAATTACTATGATGTATGCAAGCCTATTTTATTATTAGCAAACCTGTAATTAACATATCATTAATGTTTAGAACAAAAGTTTTAACCAGATATACCATTTACCATCTAGTCCCAAGCTAAGCAGTGCTTGTGTTATGGGTACTCGATAATTGAAACAAATAAACAGATAGGTTTTCCTAAATAGATACCTTTTTCTTTGTAATTAATATTTTTCTTTATTTGGTCAAAATCACTATAACTATAACACGCGGATGAAGCCGTGGACACAGCTAGTTGGTTTTTAAATGACGGAGTTATGAATCCTCTATTTTTGGAGTAGGACAAAAATAGGACACCGATTTTGACTATTCTTTTTGCAATCTATAAAGTTATTCACCTTATAAGTGTTATATAAACTTTGTATGGATTGAAAATCTATTTTTTATTAAATCAGCATTAAATGTGTTTGTCATATATTTTTTTTAATCTTTAAATTTAATTTGGGGTTACTGTTAGCAAACATGTCAACCTCATTATGTCGAACCTAATTATAATAAATCTTAAAAAAACTAAACAAAAATTTAATAATTACAGACTGAAAGAAATCTATCAAAAGGTTATAAAGAGAGGAAAGCTAAAAAAGAGATGGATGGACTATGTGAAAGATAATATGGTCTGAAAGAGAGTAAATAACGAGATGACTACGAATAAGTATGAATGGAAGAGAAAAAGGTATTACGTTGTCCCCAAATAAATGGAATAAGGAAGAAGCTTGTATCAGCGCACATAACAATCAAAAACACAAAGCGCAATGTCAGAAGAAAGGACAACTAGTATTCTTTGAATAACACCCATATCAAATTTGTTGAAGTTTTCATAAACAGACCCCTCTCTACTCGATTTCTATCATATTCCATCAATAGGTTTGCTATAAATGTCATTTCTTATTTTAATTATCAGAATATTCTAGAAAAAATATATACTTGTATACTTTACTACTAAATATCTTAAACGTGAATTTGTTACCTTATCAAGACCCCCACGGCTGAACAAGTCATCATAAATTTGCATGTATGAAGGAAAAGATTTTCAATGTCACTTGGACTAACACGCGGGCAGTACATATTTGTACCTATAAATGGTGTACTAGTTATTCCCATATAGCCTTAGGGTAGTCAAGAGAGATCATGGTAAACAATGACACGAGTAATGGTCGCTGGTAGTGTTGCCAGATGTTTTGTAATCTCCTCAAATATTTAACGTCCTCCCAAAATTCAGACTTTGAAGAAAACTCCTTAAAAATCCTAATAGCTATTCGTTCTTTAACTCTAGTCGATCTGTTCCGGAGACTGGTAATGTTTTTAGTCTCCGTGTTTGTGCTTGTATTTCTTGTTCGTTTAAAGTTTTTTTTTATTTTGGCCTATATGAACATATCCTTTTGGATACGTTGATATCGTTCATTTAATATTGGGTAAAATCCTAAGTTCAACTCATAAACTCCCACATATTTCTTCCCTTCAAAATTCCCCACATCGCTTCAAATTTGACTAAATCTGGGTGGGAAATCTTTACTCTAGCATCACTGACCGCCGGACAGCCTGGAGCGTGCGTGCTGGTAATTTACACAATAAAACGACTACCAATTTTGTATGTATATTACACATACAATGTATTGAATACGTAGAAACAATTGCTATTAAGACATAGTAAATAATGGTTTGACTAATACGCGTGTCACTTAAATATCATTCTTTTGTACGTGTATTTGCCACCTATTGCTGAACCGATGTGGATGGAATTTTGCGTATATTTCAATAGGCAACCATTCAAAATCATCCAGGTAGGATGATTTTGAATGGTTTTAAAACTATTGGATCTGGTAAGTGATTTTCCTTGCAAGACAACGTCTGTCTAATCCGTTAGTACAGTTATATATATATATATATATATAACGTCTATCTAATAAAGTAGACCTATAGAAGCTAACTAATATTATTGACATCTATATTTGTCTGTGTATATATAATTTAAGCAATTATACAACAAGTAATGGAATTACTTGATACGGAACGAATTTGTTCAAGGATTATCTACATCTTTTATCGCAGCTCTGCTTCTACTAGTCATAGCGTGATGTTATAAAGCCGACGACATTTTCAAATAACTGGGCTCTCTATTGGTATTTTATTTTTCAGGGGTTTGGAGTAGTACCATGTGGTTTAAACCTAGATAACTACAGAGATCTATTGTGCTCTTAAATATCTGATGGCAAAAGAATTTTCTAAAACCGTTCAGTAGATCCAAAAATTTATAATAATAATAATAATCTCAGGACAATTCACACAGCGTTCAATTTAACTTGGGTCTAGATTGACCCAAGTTAAGCTAGCTAAAGCTTGTGTTATGGGCACCAGACAACTGATACAAATAAAGAGATTTTGTACATAGTATATAAATGATTGTACCGCGCAAAGATTCGAATCGGCGACTATCGGAAGTAAGGCGGAATCTTGAGCCGCTTGACCACCAAAGCCGTGAAAAGAGATTACTGCCTACAATCTCACAAACTTTATAATAATAGTATGGAAATGTGGCAAGAAATGAAATACATATTATGTTGCTTTAATTTATTCGTTTTAATCACATAGTGATATTATTTTACAAATTCTATACATAACAATCTTATTATGTACAAAATAAAAATAAGTGTACTTAACAATTTTTTTTGACATTTTTTTTTAAATGCTCATTTAATAAACCTATCTAGAATTTCACTATCATTGACTTTGGTATTAGTATACGTATCCTTGTTCAGGGCTGAAGCTTGGTGGTTGACGAGGACCTCCGAATTGTTGTCCAGCTGGAGCACTGGAGGATTGCGAGCTGGTTTGTCTTCCGGAAGAACCCTGAGTTGAACCCCCTGAAGGAAGAGCCTGGTTAGGGCTTTGGGATCCAGGTTTATTATATTGGTAAGGAGCAGAATCTATTGCGGATGGTCTTGATCCACTAGATTGGCTTCCCGTGCCGGCGTTTCCAAATGAACCCTGAGAAGGTCCTGTTCCAATAGAAGAAGATTGTCCAGGTCGGGAACTGGTTCCAAACGATCCTTGGTTTCCAGACGAACCTACAGATCCTGAAGTAGATCCTAGAGATTGTCCAGATGGCCTAGATCCAAACTGTCCTTGGCTTGTGGTTCCCTGCGATCCAAAAGTTCCTTGGCTGTTAGAACCAGGGATATTAGACTGAGCTTGTCCTTGGCCGGGTCTGTTAAATTGAGTGTTGGAAGGACCTTGGTTCGAACCAAATGGAGAACCACCCTGTGGGCGATTGTACTGGTATCCAGAATCTTGATTTTGAGATCCACGGCCCTGGGCATTACCTTGGCTTCCTTGAGTATATTGGCCGAATTGTCTGTCAGAGCCAGATGTAGCTGAAGAAGCGCTAGGTGCGCCATATTGCTGAGATGGGCCTTGACCTTGGCCTTGAGGTTGGTTTAAATTAGTACCAGCTCGTTGACCTGTGGCCTGGGCTTGGTTGAATGAAGATCCGCTGCTAGGAGCTCCATATTGTTGAGATGGACGTTGAGCTGATTCTTGTCGTTGGTTGAAAGCACCATTTTGTTGACCAGCGCTCTGCTGTTGGTTGAATGAAGATCCGCTGTTAGGGGCTCCATATTGTTGAGATGGACGTTGAGCTGATTCTTGTCGTTGATTGAAAGCACCATTTTGCTGACCAGCGCTTGGGCGTTGGTTGAATGAAGATCCGCTACTAGGGGCTCCATATTGTTGAGATGGACGTTGAGCTGATTCTTGTCGTTGATTGATAGCACCATTTCGCCCAGCGCTTGATGTTGGTTGAATGTAGATCTTGTCCATATTGTTGAGATGGACGTTGAGCTGATTCTTGTCGTTGATTGATAGCACCATTTCGCTGACTAGCACTCTGTCCTTGGTTGAATGAAGGTCCGCTGCTAGGAGCTCCGTATTGCTGAGATGGCCCTTGAGCTGATCCTTGTGGTTGATTAAAGGCACCACCGGTTCGCTGACCTTGACCCTGATTCACTGATGGGGATGCACCAGAACTGCCGAATTGTTGCAAATTGCCTTGCGATCCCTGAGCCTGGTTAAAAGCGCCACCTGTGCGTTGTCCGGCTCCTTGGTTGAATTGCGAAGAAGCACCAGGAGCACCATATTGTTGAGAAGGACTTTGGGTTCTTTGATTCTGACTATAGGAGCTGCCAGATTGACCGGAAGAAGAAGAGCCTGCAGGAGCTCCATATTGCTGAGATGGACCTTGACCAGATCCTTGGCGCTGGTAACCAGCACCTTGAGCGCCAGCTTGTCCTTGGCTATATGCAGCAGATCCAGTATATTGTTGAGGCTCAGACTCATATTCTTCGGGACGGTAAGCGCCTGAAAATAGCATTATTCATTTAAAAAAAATAACACTGTCTTATAAGTTATAATCAGTGTACTTTTTTTTTAGTAATACACTGCAAAGCTTATCTATACATTACATATACTTAATATTACTTATGTGGCATGTAGAATACACTTGAAATTCGCGTAGAGAAAATTAATTGAATATTTAGAATAATGTTTTGAGTTTTTACAATTTTTAATAAACGTGGCCAAAAACCTGATCAAATTCAAACTAAAAGCATTAAAAAAAGTAAGCATTCTATGTAAACGTAAAAAACATCATTGATATGATATTATCACAATTGAATCTATAGACTGAACTGAACGATAGTGGAAAAAATATTAATACCTATTAAAAACTTGACTAGCATAAGTGACTAAAATGTTTTACATGAATAAATAATTTGGTATTTAATTACTTGCATAATTGATTTTGGAACTAGTATGATTATTCATAAGTGCTTACATTAACTGTGTTTGAATTAAAATTATGTATAAGTTTCTATTCATAATAGGTATATTATTGAAAATCATACATATATTTAGGATAAGAGGCAAGACATCTTAATCCTCTGTAATGATAACGCATGAGTATATCACGTATGTCATATAGTGACGTAATTGCCGTAGTGTTGATCATGTATACTTTCTAATCCAATTATATTGATAAATATTTTGATAATATCAGTACATCATCTCTAAATCTTGTAAGCATAAAATAACTAAAAGATTTATCAATAAAAATAAATAAAAACGTTTAATTACCTTCTTGTGTACCAGCGGCAGCGGCTCTGGCGTTCTCTTCAATAGACCTCAGGATCTCATCGGGAATTGGGGGAGAAGTCGGAAGATGGTCACCCTGAGGCTGATAGCCGTTCTCATCAGCTGTGTATGTCACCCTGTATACTTCACCATCATCGCCAGTATACGAAAAACCACCTTGAGCCTGGACACCGTTTGTAGCTACACCAGATTCTTCAGCAGAAATGCCATTGGAAGTTTCGAAGCTGTAGGAAAAGGTTTCACCGTCGTTTTGGTTGTCGTATCTTAAAATTTCAGCGTTTCTGTCCGCATCGGCTTGAGCACGTTCAGACTGTTGGTATGCCTGTCCAGAAAAGTCTTGGCCTGTTTGTCCAATACCAGATTGGCTAATTCCAGCACCGGAAGGTCCTGACTGTCCAAAACCTGGAGCCCCAGAAGACTGGCCGTATTGTGAAGCTCCAGATGATTTACCAAAGTCTGTTGCACCAGATTGCTGACCGAATCCAGACTGTCCGGCAGATCCAGAAGGACGACCAAATGTATTCTGGCCCGAAGCTCCTGAAGGTTGACCAAATCCAGACACGCCCGAGGGCCTTGATCCTTGTCCGAATGCAGATGATCCCGTTTGACCAAAACCACTTGATCCAGATGTTCCTACTCCTGATCCTTGGCCAGCAGAACCTGAACCAAATGGAGTATTCAGAGACCCAGGACTTCCTCCAGCACTAGCAGCACTTGCGGGTGGCAAGTATGTCCTGTCTAACTTTGCAGCATAGCCACAGGCTATAACTGACAAGACTAAAATCTGTAACAAAATTAAATATTAGTAAAACATAATAACTACAATTTTCCAACAATGAGACAAAACAATAACCTAATTGTATTATTTAAAAAAATAATAAAAAGATTTTATGAATTTATGAAATATAAATAAAATGTGTTCAAAATAATATCAGCGAAGAGTTAATAAAAGTAGTTAGTAAAAGTCATTTTTAAATAAACTGCCTTCGAGTATCTCTGCACTACATATATGTATATATAAAAATACATTAGGCCCGCCTTTTCTACAAAAATTAAATAAGATTTAATGAATAAAAATAAATGTTAATATTTAAGTTTGTCTGCACGTTCACGGTCCAATAATAAAGAGAGAGAGAGAGAAGAGATTAATTTAAAAAGTATCTATTAAACTATATTATTATTAAAAAAAGAACAACACATTGTCGAAATAATGTCGTAAAACTAAATTACACTTCACTAGTACTTCTGCATGTTGACACAATTTTTTTTTAAATATAAGTCACTTCCTGCTAAATTTATTATTGCCACTATATAATGTTTAAAACATGAGTTTTTAATATTTAGTTAAAAACAAGAAACGTTAAAGAAACTGTTATTAGTAACACTTCATTAAATTGAACACATTACATGAAAAGAAATTTTAAATTTAGAATACTAATACAATTTTCTTTTATTTCAAATTTAGAATAACTTTAGTGATGTGAAGTTTATAAAAACTAAATTATTTTTTTAATTATAAAATAAACTAATTACCAGCTTCATATCAAAAGCTGTTGTTTTGCCAGAAAGTGAATACTGAATGTTGCATCTTGCAGATTGTACCCTATTTATATGAATCTAAATTCGCTCACCGTATTTCACAGACTCACGGTCCTAACCTTTGACTCGTCGTAGAAGATCCTCTAGTTTGTGTGTGTTTGTGTGTTGCTCAACGAACGATCGATTTTACCAATACACTAATTATTCTGTAATGTGTGTGTGTGAGCCCAAGATGGTCGGATTTACTTTGTTTGGTCAGCTTTCGTTTAGGGGTCCGTTGATTGACATATGAAATACGAATACAATACTATCATTCGATTTCAAATCAAATAGATCGTTAATCATTAATCGATTTAAAGATAAAGAGACCTAATTCGATTGATCTAGATTTCTTTGTTTTCGATACAATTATAACAATGTTTTATCGAAACTTTATGATTAATTTCTATTTTTTTATGTATTATAACAACCCAATTTTGTAAGTACTCTTAATTAAATAGAATATACTAAAATTATTAAAAAAATTTAATTAATTTTACACGCACATGTCGAACTTATTTTGATTGAATGGTTGATTGATTGATAACTTTTCATCAATCAATCAGAGTAAATTCGGCTTGTGCTAATAAAAATTAATATTTTTTTAATAATTTCACTTATTTCTCATATATTACATTACATTTCAATTAACAAACTATCAATCCATACTAATACTATATATACTCTACTAACAGTATGTGTGTCTATTTGTTACCTTTTTAGAACTAATGGAAGGTCCATTACTTGTGAAAAGGTAACATTGGGTTGGTTGTGTTCCCTATTTTATATATCTTCTTGTACCCGTTAGTACTTATCTAAGTCGCGTTTATATATAAAAGTGTAGAATGCCTTGAATTTAATATGCGGTGTATATATTAAAACAAAATATGCTTTTAATATGTTTGGACTGTATTTTTATATTTGATTTTACAGGAGTACAGTGTGTTTTGATAGTTAAAACAGAAAGGGAGGATGACAGTTTGAATGAATCCTTTTTAAACTGTTAAGTGTTGCGAAAATATATACTACAAAATATTTATATTTATTTTAGGTTCAAAATATATATACTAATAAAAAAAAAAGAAATGTTTGGTTTGTCTCGAAGAATGACAATAACAGATTTTTATTAAAGAAAAGTCAGTCGAACTTGCGATATAAACTTGTATAGCATAAAATATAAATTAGTTCAAAATATTTAGAAAAATAAACAATTGAGTAGTTTAGTTTACTTAATAATTTAGTAATAATAATTTAGTTTTGTTGTAAGCATCACTATTTGTACGTAATGATGTTTAATAAAATATTGTTACGCTATTACCAGTAATTGTGAAACTATATGAAATTATAGCGTTGGATGTCTGTTACTAAATCATGGTGTCAGATAAGCGGATGCTTTCCCGTAAACCATAATCCACATCAACTTGAAACCATAAACAATAATTCTATGTTTTATTTCTTTCAAAACTGTGATAATGATATGAAATGTAGCCATAGATATAATAGCTGTTGGGGAATATTGGGAGAGGAAAACATAATTGTTCACTGGCTTTGTATATGTATATGCTAATAATACTAGCTGTACCGGCAAACGTTGTTTTGCCACATAAATTAAAATCGCTATTAAAAAATAGGGGTTCGTGATTGAAGGGTTAAAATTTTGGGTTGTATGTATTTTTAATGCAACATTATAAAAAAAAATTATAGGGGTATGAAATATGGTAGCATATTCTCAGATCTACTGAATATGCATATAAAATTTTATATATTGTAGCAGACCCGGCCACGCGCTGCTGTGTCTAAGGTTCTTGAATAAAACAATATTGCGAATATAAATTGAGATGTAAGCTATCCTATCTTTCAAGTTGGATCAAATTGCACACAATGTGCAAATAAAATTTGCAATTAGTTCAGGAGTCCATCGCGCTGGAATAACGTGACACGAATTTTTTATATATAAATATACTAGCTGTCCCGGCAAACGTTGTTTTTACTTAAATAAAAAAAAAAAAATTAGGGGTGGACAAGCCCCAACATTTAGGGGGATGAAAAATAGATGTTGGCCGATTCTCAGACCTACTCAATACGCTCACAAAATTTCATGAGAATCGGTCAAGCCGTTTCGGAGGAGTATGGGAACGAAAACTGTGACACGAGAATTTTATATATAAGATATTATTAATAGCAGAAGGAGTTTAATAGGTTTCACTATGTTTAACGGCACTTCGATTTTATGAGCAATTCACGCTTCTCTGAAAAAGTGGAAATTGCTTCAGTAGTACCTGTTGCCGTTGGCAACCTTTTTGATAGTTTCTGTTTTTTATATATATTTGAATTTTATATTTTGATGTTCTGCTTTTATATACCGTTTGTTTTCTTATGCTATATTGTCTTTTTATATTTTTGCTAGCGAGCTGATTACACCTATTTTACCTCACCTAGGAACGTGTCTCATTTTTAACCAGCCCTAATACAGTCCTTCCTTCCGTAACAGTACCTATTGATTAATACCTAATTTATTGAAATTTCTTAAATTAGATATATTATTTAATTTAATAAATTTTCTAGCTATAGCTATACCTAAGAGTAATATACTCTACATTGATTGTAAGTAAAAACTTTTAAGACAAGTGCCAAGTGTTTCAAATTCAAAATATATTTATTCATGTAGGTCTATTATAGATTAATATGTTTAAAGCAGAGGTTCCCAAACTTTTTTGTGTCGTAGACCCTTGCCATATTTTTCCATTTTGGGTAGACCCCCCATTCTTACCTGATATTGAGTTTTTGTAAATTTCTAACTGTAGTAAAGTTTAGTGTTAAAAATATAAAATAAAAACAAGATGACTACTAGTTTGTCATAGACTCCTCGGGGTCGATATACCACTTTGGGAATTATTTTGACTGATTTAAAGGGTTATAAATGGCAGCAAAACTACAAAGTAAAGTGACAGAACAAAGGAATGGCAACGCATTTGTAATTCTCATTAAGCTTCTCACGATAATGTGATATGCATGTTGAAGTTCGTGTTTATAGGCGACAGTTCATTCCATCAGGTCAGCTTAATCACTCTAACAGAATACTGTTTTTTCGAACTAAAATATTTTCCCCGGCCGCTCCTGGCCTTTACAGCTTCACTGAATGATAGGGTAAGTGCAGATGGCACTCCAAATCCGAGGAAGGATTTATGAAGCGGCTGAAGGCAAACTCCTGCCTGACTGATACGAACTTATTCTCAGGGCACAGCTAGGGGTGTCAAACTCAGCTTAGGTCATTGTAATTTGGATCCCCGTTTGAATGGAACAGGAGAATTGATCGGAGAGGACTTTAAGAGGATATAATATAATATACACTAATATAATCATCAGGCCGAAAAAGAGATGGATGGACTGTGTGAAAGATGATATGTAAGAATTACTTAACTGATAACAGGGATGAATGGAAGAGATAAACATATTATGACCACAAATAAATGGGATAAGGAAGAGGCTGATGATGATGATAATCATGACTGTACTTAGATTATAACTAACAAATTAGGTTTACTACTGATCGGAGTGTCGAGGAAGCAAGATAGATTTATTAGACCAGTGTCAGGTTTTTTTTACTAATTTTAATGTATAACATATTGTTATATATTGACGGCAGTGGCCTAGCGGTGTAGCACTCTTTACTGTCGATGGTCGCGGGTTCGTTTTCTCACAAGGCACAAATATTTGTATTCATGTATGATTGTTTATATCGGTCTGGATATAATGTATAATATGTTTGTATTTACGAAAAAAAATGTAAATGTATCAGTTATCTACATACATTTACATACACATAGTTATCTACATAATACAAGCTTTAGCCAGCTTAACTTGGGCCTAGATTAGATTATTATAATTATATATACATATTTCAATGGGAAGTTGGGGAATCAAATTTACTACTGACCCAGAAAGCAAGTTAGGTTATAACTCGGGACGCGGTTTTTTCTAAAGTTAATATATAATATTGTAACATATACAATTTTTAACGTGAAGGGCAGCTGTCCTTCCTTACCCACCGCTTACGGTAACACCCATAGCCATCCTAAATACAGTGTAGCAATTACTTCGTGATCCGTCAAATGGAGTGTAATATATTCCAACATTACACGTCCGCCATCGAGACTGCAATTAAAGTAGTATTAAAGCATCATCATAAATTTATCACTTCAATATTAAATGGTTGGTAAAGCTATTCACGTGATTTGCGTCTCAATTACTGATTACTACTGCTATTTAGATTTTCATTGCATATTTTTGGTAATATTAGACTTTAGCAGTAAATTAATATTTATAATAAAAATAATTTCACGACAATAATATACAGCGCCATCTAGACACAAGTTAAGTTAGCTAAAGCTTGTATTAAAGGGCACTAGATAACTGTACAAATACATTTTTTTTTTTCGAATATACACATATATTATATATAGAAAACATTAATGAATAGGATTGTTTGTATCGATCAGTGTCGATATAAACAATCCTATTTCTGAATACAAATGTTTGTGCCGTGCGAGGAATCGAACCCGCGACCAAGTAAGGTGTGCTACACCGCTAGACCACCGAGGCCGTCATATAAAATATTATATTAAAATGATTGTGCTTATAACGTTGACATTAGAAAAAAAACCTAAGTTACAAAAGTGACATCTTATATATAAAATTCTCGTGTCACAGTTTTCGTTCCCATACTCCTCCGAAACGGCTTGACCGATTCTCATGAAATTTTGTGAGCGTATTGAGTAGGTCTAAGAATCGGCCAACATCTATTTTTCATCCCCCTAAATGTTAGGGGTAATCCACCCCTCATTATTTTTTTTATTTTAAGGCAAAACAACGATTGCCGGGACAGCTAGTATTCTGTAAAAATGTACCAAAGATTTATTCGGTGATGGCCAGCGTGATACTTTCAATACATACGCATACTTTTTTATTAACCATTTGGCATTTTTTTTTAATGTATTTTTTTCGAATATTT